GTAGGCCCCACTCCCTTACTTCAGACCTTTGCCCTTTACCAATGTCACTTTCTCACCCAAGCACACCCTACACTCATTTCATGATTTCTTTTTGTTCATTTATCATGTTCTGATTATTTGGCTCACCAGAGCTCCTTGCACTATACATTAAAAGTTCATAAAGGCTGAGATTTTTGTCCACAGGGTTCACTACTGTGTCCTTGGGGCCTAGAACAGGCACAGACAGATTCTTATGGGTTAGGTGACAGTAATCAATGGGCAGAATTGTACATAAGGCACTTTTATTTGGATGTGATTTGTCTGACCGAATAACCTAGAGCTCAGTTTGAACAATATCAAAGGACATAGATGCTAAGTTGGACTTCCACGAGACCCTGGGTATGTGAGCTGTGAAATAGGGAGGGGCCCACAGATCTGCAGCAGAAGATGAAGGTTATCTTTGTGGTCAGGAGTCTCTGTTGGGTTCCGTGAATCAATTTCCCTGCTGCTTTGTAGGTGAGTCCATTGCCTCTGAGTGGATTAGCACCACGGGGCCTCCTGTTACCTGCCTAGACACTTGAAATCAGTCCCAGACTTTTCTGCCTTGGCTTGACCACTGTGCTTGCTCTTTGTGCACAACCCAGGTCATCTGTGATCAACAGCTTGACAGTGGGGTCTGGATGCTCTGGTTCATAACCCCCAATTTGCAGAGCCAAAATGTGGGCTAACCTATAGCCTAGTGTTTGAAGGAGCCAGATCTCACATGACCAACTGCGTGGTTTAAATTCTAGCCCTGGTGGCTTGAAAAACACTCTGGGCATGTGTGCATGTTTTCTCCAAATCCCAACAGGTTGGAGAAAAGGAGGAGAAAGGATTGCGGTGTGACCATGCCCCATGGAGAAAGTGCTTTCTCCTCTCCCTTTCTTTTCATCTCTCTCTGGGAAGCACATGTGCCCTCTGACAAAATAATAAAAAAAAAACCAAAATACAAAAAAGAGTCAAATCTTGTACAGCCCTTGTGCTCACCTAATGTTGAGTCTACATGACCAATATCAAGCAAGCAGGAACCGAATTACGCATGGCTACCATGATAGCTACTTTTTGCTGTCCTCCAGTTCTCTAACCAGTAGTTACCAGTAGGAATTGGCCATATAAGAGCATCTGAGATATTGAGAGGTCAACCTTATCATTTTGAAGGCTCACTGGATGCTATCAAAAGTATCCTCTGGTTGTGATGTCTCTTCTGTCTGCCCCAGTATTCTCAGCCAGGCTGAACTTTTTAGACAATTTTTGAATTGTGGCGTATTTCTGGAAGCTGTCTTTCAGATGACAACACATTAGCTTGGTGGAAAATGCTCTAACCAGGAGTACAGGCATGTGCTCCCATTGCCATTGCTAGTGGAGAAGCAGCCAGATCCCTGACAGCCCAGACATCAGAATGGTGCTTTTTTTTTTTTTTTTTAAGTCCTCAAAGTAAACTTTATTTATACATTTTTTTTCAAACAATTGTGGAATTAAAAAAAAAAAATCCTTCCCAAATTGGACAATTTAGGACAGTGATAGGACCCAGGGGTCTTTGAAGAAAGCAGTACAAATGGTGGTTTTCTGGCTCATGGAGCTAACACCAAGAAGCCAATTTATTCTATAATCTTAAAGAATCTTACAAGTGGATATGTTTGAATTGGTCCTCTGAGCATTGTTCAAATAAAGAGACATGGAAAAGAGTTAGTTTCCAAAATGTGCAGTCTTTAAAAGTAAAACTTCAGAAATGTCTGCGTTTTGATGGAGACAGGTGGTCAGGAAGAAGAGTGTTGGATAGCGGATGTGAGTGGATGGCGCTGGCAGAGACTATGGCTATGAAAGACTTCGATGTGTGGGGAGAGGGAAATCAGAAGAGAAACACGGCAGCATGAAGAGGGAGGCAAGTGGCACCGAGGAGAGCCCTTAACGTTTTGCACTGGGTTCTGCCATGGCCTGACCGGCCAGGTGACGTGTGCCTTTTCTCTTTAAATGGAGATGGAGGAATAGATTATGAGTAATCACATTAGAAGTTTGCTGAGTTCTAGGAATTGATCTAGCATACTTTTGGCTCCCAATTCTCCTCTATTTCCTTCCCCTTCTAAGTAATAATTGGAAATAATTGGCTTGGAAATGCATTGACATGCAAATCTTGCTATGTCTTCTTTTTTGTAACTTAAAGGTTGAATACAGAGCTAGCTCTGGGAATGGTCAAGCCTAGACAAGAAAGCAAATAGGTCATCTTTGGGGATAACTTTGGTGTCACCAATGTCTGAATGCTTGCAGTAGTTAGCATGCATATTTAGCACTCTCTCTTCTCCCTCAATTCCCATGTTCCATAGTGTGGATGCTGGAGTTGTTATAGCACAAGGGAGTGGTTAATGCAGGACAGAAATCACCACAGTGGAGCAGGGATTCTGGGAACAACCCTGGCCCCATCACAGACTCCTCTGACCTATAAAAAGTATTGTTAATCCCATACTGTCTGCCTTACAAGATTTGGGAAGAGAAATGAGGTAATGTCCATTTAGACCTCTGCTTCTCGGAAGAATAGCAATCTGTAGTAATAAGATTTTCTAATGCATTTGGTTGTGTTGTAATGGAGTATGATTCCATTGACCTGAATTTCTTTAGGTGCTTCTAGAATATTTGGCTGTCTTACACAGAGGAAGCAGCCTGACTCTAAGAGTGAGAACTGGGCCTAGACTAGAACCCTGAAGGGGTACTCAGGCAAGTGAGCCAGCTATAAAGTTACGAGTTTAGGGGGAGGAAGCTGGCAGAGGAAGGAATATGATCCTACTTTTAAGTGTTGTTTCACTAAGGATCAGTATGTCAATTTTTAAAAAATGCTGATTTTGGGGGACTGGTCTTATACACAGTAAGGAAGCCAGATCTCTCCTAGCTGACCACAGTTGGAATCCCAGCCTTGGCAGCTTGGAAAACATGTCAGGAGTGTGTGCGTGGGTGCTCACAGTTCTGACAGGATGGAGAAATGGAGGAGAAGGGATTGGAGCATGACCACATCTCACTGGTGGTGCCTTCTTTCTCTTCCTCCTCTCTCTCTGTCTCTCTAGTAAGTGCGTGCACTCTCTAATAATTAAAAAAGTTTTATTTCAATTTAGCAATATTACACATTGGAGGAATTGTCTGCAAATTGATCCTACTATCTTTATCTATAATGATAATCTCTAACCTAGATTCCTTCAAGATTTATTTTCTTTTATTTAGTCTGGAGACAGAGACAGAGACAGTGAGAGAGAAATTCCCCACCAGGGGAGATGGCCACACCACAATCACTTCTCCTCCATTCTCCTCTCAGGATATTGGGCATGCACGCACACGCGCCTGGTGTAAGTTTAAGCCACCAGGTCTGGGGCTCAAATCGTGGTTGACTGCATGGGAGTTCAGCGACATAGCCATTATGCTAACTGCTGGTCCCCACCCAGCATGATTTTCAAGCCATCAGGTCTGGGATTTGAACCGCAGTCGGCCATGGGGAGTCCAGCGACATAACTGCTACACCATCTACTGACCCCAAGATTTACTTTATTATGTTCTTTGGAACATAACCTGGTTATTTAATAACTTGTTTCTGACTTTGATAACAGCTGTTTCATATAAACATTAACAAAACTTTAAATTCACTTGTGAAATAGCTAGTAGGTTATTAAGGCTTTATCTTTGTTCTGCAAATAAAGAGATGTGTAAATCTTTCTGATAAAACAGCCATGACCAATCTAATCTTTGATATAGCCTTTTGGAGCAATATTACCACTAAGTTGACTTTTCAGTGAGTCCTAAAGAAGAGAAGTTAAAACAAACAATAAAAAGTGGGGGAGTAGACACACTTGTCAGCTCTGATGTACTTTGAAGATGCTAACACATGTTACAGTGATCTGTACTGGATTGTTTTGCTATGGGATTTTCTAGAAGCCATTGGCTCTTTAGACGTTTCAAAGAGATGTCAGCTTTCTATGAAATTATTTTAAGTAACCCTTGAATTAATCGAGGAAAAAACCAGTATGTCTTCTTTTCAAGAGAAGTGGTTATATGTACTTTTAAAAAAGCAATTAATTTTTATTTTTAGAGCAATGATATTAATTGTATCCTTTCTCTGAGGGAGGAAAGTGTTATATATTTCATTTACTAAATTATAGACTATAAAGCAGAGAGAACTTCCTGTCATCCAAAATGTGACTCGAAAATTATATCCTTATTAAACTGTGTATTTATTTGCTTACATTGTGTGCCAAGAATATATGAAAAAAGTCACTTTGTTAGTTTCTTAAATTAATAAGAACATCTTTTTTATTTATTTATTTTTTAGGTTTTTGTTATAGGGCACATGTGCTTGCCAGAGAGAGAGAGACAGAGAGAGAAGAAAAGTGAGAAATACCCTCTAGGGGGAATGGCCACACTGCAATCCCTTCTCCATTCTTCTCCCAGGATTTTGAGCATGGACTCCTGTGCACCCAGTGTATTTTCCAAGTCACTGGGTCTGGGACTCAAACCACACAGTTGGCTATGTAGGATCCTGTGCCTTAACTGCCGTGCCACTTGCTAGCCCAAGAAGAACATCTTATATAAGGAAATTATATAGAATACCATGTAGTATGTTCTTTTATAAAAGAAAACATGATTTTTGCTAAAATATTATGACTTGATGACAGAGTTTATCTGATGTTAAATTGTGGCTAATTGTAACAGAAACCACAATTTCTCTTCCTGACAATTTACTAGAGTTTGAATGAACATTTTGAAATGTTAAGCATAGTCTGCAATTTTTATGTTGTGCAAAACTTCATGACAAATTTATATATTTTTTACTATTATATATGAAAATGTTAGGTCATCAGGAAAGTCATGAAATATTTTTCTATGTAGAAATGCATCATGACTTTCCTGGTTACCCAGTAGATAAGGCATACTTTTTAGAAAGATTGAAAAATGTCTTTATATGATCTGATGCAAATTGATTTGTGTTTTATATGGTTTTGTTTCAGAATCGAAGCAAACGCTTGGAGAAGGTTCATGTGGTTATTGGACCTAAATCGTGTGATTTGGATTCTCTCATTTCTGCCTTCACATATGCTTACTTTTTAGACAAGGTGAGAGGAAAAAAGAACTATGTTTTTTATGTTAGAATTATAATGTAACTTTTTTTTTTCTTTTTTTGGAGAGGTTTTTTTTTTTTTTTTCCCCCGCTATAGGGCACGTGTGCTCGCCAGACAGACAGAGAGAGACATAGAGACAGAGACAGAAAGCGAGAAATCACCCCCAGAGGGGATGGTCACACCGCAATCCCTTCTCCTCCATTCTCCTCTCGGGATCTTGGGCACGCACGCATGCACACGCGCCCGGAGTGAGTTTTAAGCCACCGGGTCCGGGACGCAAACCGCAGTCGACTACGTGGGAGTCCAGCGACATAGCCATTACGCTAACTGCTGGTTCCCTAAAAAGTAACTTTTCAGAACAAACATTTTCTGGAAAACAATGGACCTGTTAATTTAATTTTTCATGTTCTGTATAGAGAATAATGTATTACAGAGAATAATGTATTATAATCCCTTAATCAGCAAATGTTTTTAAAGTGCTTACTGATGTGAGGCATTATTCTAGTTATTCCTTACTAACTCTCTTCATAAGACCTTGTTTTAATAAGGTCAACGTTTTCAACTAAAAATTTATGTTTATAATAGTTACTTTCATGGAACTTGAGAGAACTTACAAAAGTAGGGATCAGAATTTCTTATTTTCCTTTATGATCTTTGTTAGATAGTCTTGTTCTTAGGACTAGAAAAATCCATGCAAAATCACTTGTGTGAATAGTATAGGAAGTACAGAGCATGGCTGGAAATTTCAGTGACAGAGGTATTCCACGCCAAATGTACGTTCTGCGAGTGCTCATTTGGTTTTGGTTTTGAGATCTGGCTTTGTACAGTAAAGTGTTCTCAGTTAGTCATAATTTCCCTTGAAGGAGAATCTTTCTAGTTTGTGAAGCAGACATATCTATATGAGAGGTCTTTTAAACATCCATGGAAAACGTGTATTATGAAAGAACTATGCATGGATTTCAAAGGTTATACACCAAAATAAACTCATAATTAATTCCATTTCCAGTGAACTTTTGGAGTTTCTCTTATAGCTATAGAAAAGATCCTTCAATAAATTGTTCTAAAATTTAAATAAGACTCCTAAAGCACAAGCAATAATCCCAAAAACAGACAAGTGGGACTACATCAGTCTAAAAAGCTTCTGCACGGCAAAGGAAACAGTAGTCAGAGTGAAGTGACAACCTCAGAATGGGAGAGAATATTTGCAAACTATGCTTCAGATAGAGGACTGATAACCAGAATATACAGGGAACTCAAGCAATCCAATTAAAAAGTGGTCAAACAAACTGAACAAATAACTTTCCAAGAAAGACACACAAATGACCAAAAGACATATGAAAAAATGTTCATCGCCTCTTATCATAAGGGAAATGCGAATCAAAACCATAATGAGATACCAGACTGGGATCGAAACAATGAAGAATGACAAGTGCTGGTGAGGCTGTGGTGAAAAGGGAACTCTCCTACACTGTTGGTGGGAATGTAAATTTGTGCAGTCACTGTGGAGAACAATTTCAGGGTTTCTCAAGAATCTACAAATAGAACTACCATACCACCCAGTGATACTACTCCTGGGTATTTTCCAAAAAACAAACCAGAAAAACACTCATTCAGAAAAACACTCACACATCCATGTTTATTTGCAGCATTATTCACAATTGCTAAGACATGGAGTCAACCTAGAAGCCCAAGAATGGATGACTGGGTTGAAAAAAAGCGGCACATATACACTGTGGAGTACTATTCCATCATAAAAGACAATGAGATCCTGTCATTTGGTACAAAGTGGCAGAATATAGAAGATATAATGCTACGTGAATCAAGCCAGACTATGAAAGACAGACATTGTATGTCTCCACTCAATATACACAGAATGTTTGTACTTTATGACAGAAAATGAAAGATCAGAAGATATAATAGCCAAGACAGTAAATGTAGGTTCCAGGGACTGTATAGGAGCGGGTGGACAACCGTGGGTGAGAGAGAGGGGCTCAGGAAAAATAAAAAAGAAACATTTAACAGACACAGGAATGGAAACTTACTGTATGCAGTAATATCTTTCCCTTGCCTGGCAGGAAATGCAACTGTGCTTTGAGAATCCATATTGTACGCTGCACACATGTACATTGATTAAATGTAAATATATATGTAAAACAAAAAAGGGGGGCACCTTTCATTCCAGGACTGGCCCTATAGCCTAAGGGAGCTGAACGTTGCATGGATAATAGGGGTTTGAATTCTGGCCCTGGCGAGTTGAAAAACAGTCCAAGCATTTGAGCGAATGTCCCAAACCCAAATGAGAAGTGGAAGAGAAGGAATTGCAGTGTATCATGTCTCATGTGGGGTGCTTTCTCCCTCCCCTCACCCCATGTCTCTGTCTCTCTCTGGCAAGCGTATGCACACTGTAGCAATTAAAGAAAAAACAAAAACTTCCATCCCATAAAATTCATCAGCTCATAATCATGCTTTACCTAAACTCTAAAAATTAACTATGAGTATTTGTCACATAGTTTGTAGTTTTCCAGAGTCTGATTTGTTTTCTTCCCATTGTGTTTGGATCCTTGGCCCCTACACAGTGTGCGTAGCTAATCTAGAATGACTGAAATTCACGTGAAACTCGGTCTTCCAGAATGAGCTGTGGGTGGCAACAACTGCTTTAGGGTAGCAGCTGACAAGATGCCAGGTAGCATATTTCGATCTCTACATGTGGGCTTTGTATCAAATTTGCCTTAAAATTTGTTAAGCTTTACAAGGGAGATTAACTGGTACAAGGAGATAAATGTGCCTGTGTCAATATTTTCATATGAAACACTAATCTTATTAACTGTGGTAAAACAAAGAAGAATCACACAAAAGAAAGATTGAATTATCTTTAACAAATTTTATTTAAAATCTTATTTTAAGTTTTTTTTTTTTTTTTTTTTGCTATAGGGTGAGTGTGCGCTCACCAGAAAGACAAAGAGAAACAGACAGAAAGCAAGAAATTATCCCCCCCACCCCCGGGGGGGACGGCCATGCCACAATCCCTTCTCTTCCATTCTCCTCTCGGGATCTTGGGCACACACGCACACATACCCGGCCTGAGTTTAAGCCACCGGGTCTGGGACTCAAACCCGGTCAACTACATGAGAATCCAGTGACTTAGCCATTAGGCCAACTGCTGCTCCCTTAACTGTGTTTTCGATTCCTTAAAGAAAGTTGTTGCTTACCTAGAGAAATGGTATTGACTGAACTGCACTGATTTTCAGACAGAAAATGTCATAGACTTTTAAGAAAATGATATAAAAATAGTACCACCAACTACAGTAACTTTCTTTTAAGCTCCCCCCCTCCCCCATAGGGCATGTGCACTTAGCAGAGCGAGACAGAGAGAAACAGTGAGAGGGACAGTGAGAATTCACCCCTAGTGGAAACGGCCACGCTGCAACCCCTTCTCCTCTATTCTCCTCCTGGGATTTTGGGCATGCATGCACATACTCATGGCATGATTTTCAAACCTTCAGATCTGGGACTCAGACTTGCAGTCTGCCATGTGAGAGTCCAACACTTTAAGCACTATGCCACCTGCTGGCCCAAAATATCATTTTTTTTTTTAATCGCCAAAGGATACATATGGATGTCAGAGAGAGGCAAAGAGACAGAGGGAGACAGAGAGAGACAGAAAGTGAGAGAGAGGGAGGAAGCAACCCCCAGTGAGATGTGATCATGCCACGATCTCTTCTCCTCCATTTCTCCATCCTGTCGGGATTTGGGACATGCAGGCACATGCTCCTGGTGTGTTTTTCAAGCTGTTGATGCCATTATTTGAACCACGTGGGATCCAGCCGCCTTAACCACTAGGTTATGGGACTGTCCTAATGTGTTCAGTGAATATAATGACATCCAATAAAAAGAGGTGGGAAAATAATTACGATTGACTAAGTAGAAAGATAAAAATAAAACATTCCCTTCTTCAAAGGCTTGCCACTTACCAAACATGAAGACAGATGCGAAGTTACTGAAAGATCACATACTAGCAATTTTGTTATACTTCTTTGTTGTTTTGGGTTTATTGGGTCTAAATCTCTTACCAAATTTCCTGAAAATTTGGTCATTCTCTCTCAGAGTATCTGGGCTAAGTAAGGAGCTTTGCAGCTTTCCATGTAGGACCCCATTTGAATTTTTTCTTCTCACTCTGGTAGGTTAGCCCCATTCTATGGACAGAGAAAACAGGCTCAGAGAGGAAAATGGCTTTCTCAGAGTCACACAGCAGAGGCTGGAGCCTCGTTATTCAGCCTCAGCTTCAGAGCAGATCCTGTCGGGGTAGGCTCTAGCCACAAGCTCTCGACTTGTGAATCGATTCTTCTTTCTTCAAGTCACAATTTAAGGAGTTTGCTGTAATTCTAAGTGAAGCAAGGATAATAATTTGCCAGAGCTAAATTTCTAATGATTGTTAGGCTATGGCGATTCAGTATTCACATTAATAGATAGGAGAAAAACCACTTTGTTGGAGAGGGTTTGTACTTTGTATACCAGAGATGGATGATTTATTAATTTTATTCAACAAATTTTTTTTAGATGTTTACTATGTGCCAAGCTATTTTATGCACTGGAAGACGTAACTGAACAAAACAATCAAAAAATCTTGTGTTTTTGTTTGTTTGTTTGTTTGTTTTCTTTTTTTGCTATAGGGTGTGTGCACTGGCCAGACAGAGGGAAAGTGAGAAATCACCCCCTAAGGTGATGGCCATGCCACAGTCCCTTCTCCTCCATTCTCCCTTTTCTACTTTTTTTTTTTTTTTTGAGAGGTTTTTGCTATAGGGCACGTGCGCTCGCCAGACAGACAGAGAGAGACAGAGAGACAGAAAGCGAGAAATCACCCCCCCAGGGGGGATGGCCACGCCCAATCCCTTCTCCTCCATTCTCCTCTCGGGATCTTGGGCATGCACGCACACGCGCCCGGTGTGAGATTTAAACCACCGGGTGCGAGACGCGAACGGCGGTCGATTACGTGGGAGTCCAGCGACATAGCCATTACGCTAACTGCTGGTTCCCTCCCTTTTCTACTTTTTAAAATAATTTTTTATTTTACTTATTATCATTATTATTTTTAAATTTGTTATAAGGCATATTCACTCCCCAGAGAGAGAGAGGGGGGAAGTGAGAAAGCACGCTGCCCGGCCTGGGACTTCAACTGCGGCTGGCCGTGTGGGAGTCCAGCACCCTAACCACCATGCCACTTGCTGGCACTAAAGCCTACCTTTTTCATGTTAAAAAGGAGAGACAGATGATAATGATGTAAAACTAACAGACACAGTTTGTTTACAAGCTGGTGACGATGTGAGAATTAAGGCCAATACTTGATGTAAAAATTTAATGTTACCAAACCTCACCGTTCCCTTATTGATAGTTAGGGTTTATTGCTAAAGGCTCATAGTAATTTCTAGAAGTACACTTATTTTTAAATTCTCCTAGAAAAAGTTTACTATTGTAAATGTGAAATTATCTACTTCCTTCCTCTCTCCTGTGTTCCCTGATTGTCACAATTTTTTAAAAAAATGTTTATTTCTTCCATGAGAAAGAAAAACAGAGGAGGGGCATCCCTAATAGGGTCCTCACGCTGCATTCCACCCCCAGCCCCGTCTGCCTGGATTACAGACAAGTGCACCTATACCTGGTGTGCAAAGGGAGACTTTGAGATGCGAACCTGAGACCTCCCCATGTGCGTCCAGCCTCACAGAGCTTTGTGTTACTGATGTGCTACTGCCTGGGCCATCATGAACATTTCAAAACAAGGCATCTGTTAGTGTAAGGTTTCTTTTCTTTTCTTTTTTTAGAGAGATTTTTGCAACAGGCCGCAGAGAGATAGAAACTGAGAAATCATCCTCCACACACACCCCGGGTGGGGGTTGGCCATGCCTCAGTCCCTTCTCCTCCATTCTCCTCTTGAGATTTTGGAAACACACACACACACACACACACACACACACACACACACACTCACGCATGACTGGCATCAGTTTTAAGCCGTCAGGTCCAGGACTCAAACTGTGGTCAATTATGTGGGAGCCCAGTGACACATAACCATTATGCCATCTGCGGGTCCCAAGATTTTTTCTTTTAATTATCAGTTGCATGTGCTTGGGAAGAGAGGCAGAGAGAG